ATAAGTTTATTTTTTAATGAAGGTGTGTATAGTATCTTCTTGCAAATTTCTTAAATTCAAGTGAAATATTGTAAATTGTGTAATGAAGTTCTCCCTTACAGAGGACAGTCCTTCTTTCGTAGGTTCTGTCCTTCCTCGAAAAGTGTCCTCCTACCTGTACTCCTTTTAGATATTTTAAAACTAATCTAGTTGATGAAGTGAGAAATCACTATTTAATGTTTATACTCTAGCTGCATAGCTTACCGTAAAATGTAATAAGGCTATTTCTTGCTCCCAAACTTCCAATATATTGTTAGAAAATGATGTATTGACAAAACATATGCATTCAATGGAAAATTACACGTTTAATTAAATAATTAAAAGGGATGTAAGCTTATTAGTGATTTTTGTTTGTATGAATAAAATGTTTCATTTATTTATGTTGTACTTTTTTCGTCCTCTTTTCATTGCAAAAAAATGGTATTTCTAAAAAGCACCTGTAACTACATAATAAATGTAACTACAAAATAAATACTAACAACAATAAATCTAACTCAGCCCAAAATCCGCCAAAACATTTGCTTGAATTGTGTCACTAGGCAGCAAGACTCTGATTTGTGCTGGGCTCTGCTGGCTTGAGTACGAATTAATTGGAGTCGTGTGGCGTCCGAAGGCTCCAGTCACTGCAGCCTTTATTCAATAAATTAATAATAATAATAATAATAATAATAATAATAGAATAGTTTGGAATAGAATAGTTTATTTTCCATCAAATTTGTTGTGGGTCCTGATAAGTCAAACTGACTTTATATCAAGTGCCCATTATTGCAGAATTTTACAGTATTTTCTTCTTTAAATACATAAAGTTCACATACTATAATTTTACCTAATATAATTACATAAAAACTATTCTTATGAAATATTTTATCATAAATAATTCAATGTAAAGTTAAAAACATAAAAGTCCTATTTGCAACAATTGCAATATTGGGCTTTATAGTGATATAATCTCTAACACAATTAAAACAATGGTTAACATTTCAAATATTTGTATGAATATTTAAAAAGTAACAAAATTGAGAAAAAATACATTATAGTTTTACCTATTTTTATAAATTGTTTTAAATTTTGCTCTAAATCCATATACTTACAGTTTATATAACAGTGTATTTTTAATTAATATATACAATCACATAGGTAGTTATTTGTTCTTATTTCTAATATAGGCACTTAGGTATAACACATACCAGTACGTATAGCAAAATAACACAAAATAATAATAATAATAATAATAATAATAATAATAACAAGATAAAATTAATGATAATAATTATAATTGTTGTAATAATACAATAACATTAATATATATTTTTGTAATAATATATACATAAATTTACACTGCAAACAGTTTTAATGCAATATTTCAATAAATATGTTTCTATCATTATCATCATGTTTTAAAATCCAAATCGTTATCTTGTTTTTGTAAATATTGAAGGACTTACTATTTTTCAATGTTATCGATAACTGATTACATATTTGATTATTAGCCTTTAACAGAGCGCATCCCGGTCCATGCAGCCCAATGGACGGTCAAAGCAGCGCGGCCGGTGCTTGCGGGCGACGCTTCGGCTTGTGCTCTGGTAGAGAGATGTGCGCGTTCAAAAGGACGCGAGAGGCTGGAACGCGCAGACTGGAGCCATTTAACAATATTCAAAATAATGTACATGAATTACCAACTATCGACATCATGAAACTAGGATCAGCTGCAAAAATTAACAACAATTTCAATTTCAATACTCAAGATGTGTAACTGAAAAAGTAAGGTAAGCAGTCATTGCTTTGCTTCCTCTACAGCTTCGCCACTGTAAGCAATGATTTTTCATGTACACTCAGGCAAAAGGTCCTCAATATTGTTAAAAAAATAAATTTAATAAATTACGGCCGTATTCCGGTCACTAGTTTAAATAAATATCTCTTTATGAAACAACACTTCATTGGTATGATTTCCTTGACTCGTTCTTCCCTTCTGTAGGAACACCCAAAGAGCGCAAATCCCGTGCGAAGGTCTTTTCTAATTCCTCCGTCAAAACGGCGCTGCTGTGCACTTGCCGTCTCCGTGCTGTGCAGTTTCTGCAGCACGTGAATTGCATCTTCAAGTCAAGTTCGCTTGATTGATTCGGCGGTGATGATATTGGCCGAGATGAGGCAAATGGTCGAAATTGCCTTGCTTAATTATTGTATTTGGCCATTTATAGTAATTAAAAAAGATAACAACATTCAGTTCATAATTAGAAAAAGTACATTTGATTTTCGCTTCCAATAAGCTCAAAACCTTTATTAAGCGGCCACCTCAATTACCAGCCAATTTTTATCGGAACCTTTGGTGATGGCATACGCGAGGTTTCAACGTATTATTGTCATTCCACCAACGGGAGAAAGTTCGCATATAATCAATGTATAAATTAGAATTTAAGAAAAGTACTCTTTAAGATTTCCAGTTTAAAAAAAGATTAGTTACAGGCCTAATTCTATGATAAAATGCATTGTGTAGCGAGATTTAATTAAAAGTGTAATGAAAGTAAACAACCCGAGCTCTTTCATATTCGGCGTTTGTCTTGCTCGTTCGCATCGCTTGACGACTTAATTCGCTTCCACGCGAATTTTCATAGCTCTCCAACGTGATTTGTATGAATTCTTGCAATATTCTCTCCAGTAGCGATGTTCCATGAATGTAAATCATCGTTAAAATCAGTAGAGGCTCTGGGCGCTTAAAAATTAGTTTACGTGTGTGTGTGTGTGTGTGTGTGTGTGTGTGTGTGTGCAATGAATTTATATAGGTCTTTATTGTAACTCGCAACCCATGTCTGGGAGCAACAGCTCTTGTGGAAATTTGGCAACCGCGTATCATTGCTGCCAGTTGAGACGGTCGGGGATGTCACGCAAGGGCTGGAGAGGAGAAAGGTCATGCCATAAGCTGCAGCAACTTTCCCGCTACGACTTCTCCACGCAAGAAGCGATTCGGTGGCTGAGGGCATCAGGGGGTGTGGCTGCTCTGATCGGTGATTTTCCGTGGCGTCTCCTATCATCACCAGGCGAATGCCGGAGCAGTGCGCTAACAAGTGAGCCACTGACTGCGCGCGATCTTTCCTTCCTCACCCCTTACACATATTTACACTCGCATGCACTCCACCACCGCACTTGCCCTGAGCGTAGAGCTCGTCCCGGCAGGGCGGTGCCTCGCTGGTGGGAGATACCTGGATAGGGGAAACCCCGACACCCCGCGCCGGATCACGGCCCCCAGCAGGGGAAGAACGCCGCCCCTCGCGACAAATGGCGCTGGCGGTCGGCGCGCTGGACTCGCCCAGGAAGCAAGCACTCCCGCTCGCAGGACACGCGCCGAGCAACGCCTTGCGGCCGATTGTGGCTTACGAGAGTAATTACAAGTCCCACGAACATGATTACTTCTTCTACAAATATTTAAACAGTGAACATTTTTGGTAGTAGCAAAAACATGCTACATCTGGCTGCTGGTGAAAACTAGTATCCCAAATCTCTCAGCTGCACGTACTGAGCTGACACTCTGAGACTGGCGCTTGGGGCATCTTTTAGCAGAAGAATTCATTTCGCTGAGCGATGCATGCTTAACTTTTTAGAAAAAAATAAAAATAAAAATAGTCTACTGTGTTGAACGTGCCGAAAAAATGCTCTCTGCTGTGATGGCTGCTGCTATCTGTGGCGCGATTTGTGAACTATCGTCACGACAACTTTGCTGGCCGTAGCAAGAGGCGCCGGTAATTTTGACCGCGATTGGATGAGTAAGGCGTCTCTCATAATGCAAACTTCAACGTAAACATACAGTTGCCGCAAAACCAGGAAGTGAGTTATTAAGCGAGACCACTCACAACGCCTTGACGTAACCGTAGACGTAAATCCGTGAACTTGAGAGTTCACGAGCACCAACCTTTTACGTTATGTTTACGTCCGAATTCTACCGAAGACCAATCAGAGAGCAGCATCAAAGAAACAAAATATGGATTGTGTTCAAGTAGCATGTAGTTATGTCATTTCGTTACTGTTATACACTGAAATAAATTGAAAACTGTTTTGACGTGAGTAGTGAATTCAAAGTAGGAATTTAGAGCATTTTTCTTGTGACTTTAAGTTGACGTGGACAATAAAATAATTACGTTTGACGAATTACTCGTGAAAGTAAGTAACGATGGAGAAAAGACCTTTCCACCATGCTAGAAACGAATCAAAAATCAATCAATCTTCAATACGTTGAAATCTGATTGGCTGAAGCGAAACCTATGTTCCAGCTTACGTTCGTCATTGTAAATGCTTGTTTTAACGTGTAAATTTTACTGCTAAGTTGACGGTATTACGTTACGTTTAAGTTTGCATTGGAAATGAGGTTTAACATCTTCGAGAAATACGCCTCTTCCGTCCATCACTGGTTTTGTCGAATTTGAGCGCTGAGGCGCCCTAGGTAGCAACGGAGAGTACAACTCCGGCCCTCGATGCTCTCCAGGGTCATATCTCGCGCCTGAGAATCAGTTGATGGAAGATTTTGAGGCCATTATGATTCACGAGTGTAATTGAGGCATAGTGGGCAACACCATGGTACCACATATGTATCAGTAGTGTTAAATTACACATACATAATGCCTCAATCAGGGCGGGGTATCTCAATTACTGTATCGCTTTTTCTATCCGATTTTTCTTAACGCTTCTACCTACGGGCCAATCATAAACTGTGACTCATCTATCTTAGTAGGCGTTATACATCGATCGCTATATGGGTGTCCAAACAGCGTATGCACTACAACACACGCGGTGTTATCTATAATAGAGCCACTGTCAGCCTGGTGACCACATGTCTCATCTCATAGTTTGTCGTTGTCCATCTTGTTCGCCATGCTATTGCGTGAGGAAGGGGGAGTAGAAGCCTTAATTGCTTTTCGCCTGGGCGTGTTCGAAGGGCGCGGGCCCGGGCGGGAGGCGGCGGCCGGGGGCCAATGGGCGCGGCCGCCGCGCTGCGCATGCGCGGGACGGGCGCGGCCCCTGCGCCGCCGCCGCCGCCGCCGCCGCCGGCAGTCGACCCAGAGCCTCCGACGCGGGAGGGCCTCAACGCGTGCGCCGTCTACCTGTCCGCCGCCGGGCGAGTGCGTGCAGTGGTGTAGTGCGGGTGTTGGATACGCGTGCAATGCCCAGCGCCTCCCGACGACCGACCGACGCGTGAACGAACCAGCCCCCTGCCCGACCGGCTGCAGGCAGCTCTGAAAGGTACGTCGCCGCCGCCCTCGCTGCTTGTTTGTGCGCGCGGGGCGGGGCGGGGGACGGGAGGCTGCACATCTGGCGTGCAGGCCGAGCCCGGCAGGCAGCCGGCGCGAACCGCCCTCTCCAGCGACGCGCCGACGCCGAGGTGCATTACGCCAGGCGAAACAGCCGAGCGCCGCGCCGCGCCGCGCCGTGCCGCGCCGAGTCCGTGCCCGGAATGTAAACAAAACACTGGCGCGTCCGGGCGGTCGGGCGGCCGGCTGGCTGGCTGGCTGGCTGGCTGAGGCTGCAGCGGTGAAAGCGGTTCTGGCGGGCGCTGATCGCGTCCTTTATGTCAGTGGGCTTTGACTCCCCGCTGCCCCTCGGCCGGCTGTGCCAGCTCTGTGCCCTGCGCGAGCTTTTGTCAGGCAGGGACACTCAAAAAGTGCGGGAATGCGTTGGTCTGCTCTTGAATTTCCCCCAATCGATACTGCGATGGTTAAAATATTTCATTAATTAATGCATTTATTTTTATTTATCTGTTTTTGAAAATAAATCATTGCACGTATTATGTGTACGAGTATGAGTATTGAATTTTAGAAGTCTCGTCTGGTCTCTTAATGAAATGATGCCAAAAATTAAGCCATTTCCTGTTTATTATTATTATTATTATTATTATTATTATTATTATTATTATTATTATTATTATTATTATTTATTTTTGTTTATTAATATACAGTGTTAATTTTGTTCTGAAATGTTTTCGTATGATTTATTTACTCATTAGCAGATACTATACATTGATACTACGTATTCCATTGTATGTATATTTACTTTACCTTCGCAGGTGCACAGGTCTCACTCATTTCGATCAATGATGTATTAGGTCATGAAACGATTAGTACTTCAAGATAACAAATAGATGTTTTAAGGGACCAACGATGTTTATTTTTGTTTAACACAATCAATTAAAAACAACGTTCGTTCAATATTTTTATTTTGTATGTGAGGTTATCTGGTAAACATATACATAGAGTAGTAAGAGTTCTGAAATAATTTCTCCCAGAACTTTCATCGATTAAAGTACTTTTGATGTGATTCTTACGTTTTTCATAATCACTTATTTTCAATTTCTGTCATGCGCACACTTTATCACGTGCAATTCAATGATCAGCAGATCTGCTTGTGAAACACAGTGACTTTAAAATGAATAAATATTCGGAGAAAGCAGTGAAAAGTCTTGGTGGCGCGAAAGCTTTTTATACTAACATGTTCATTGGTGCGAAATGCAGTTGGTAATATGGATGGAAATCATGGATGAGTTTTGAAGTCAAGTTTTCAATTTACAATGTAGAATGTGTGTGATACTCATTCAATTGGTTTTGGATATTGCATCGAAAAATATTTCCCAACGAGGTTAGGTTATCTTCCCGACTTTTTGCTTCATGATCATCCAGTGACGTGCAATATCACACAAAAGGTTTCAGGAAGGCGATCTTTTATTTAAAGGAGATTGTTTTAATTCAGATTGCAAGAGACTGTCATTACATTGAACCGCCATGTAAATCACGTGTAAGTGCAATCGAGAGCAGCTTTCTCTGATGTGTACGAAGAGATTGTAGATTGCAGGAAGGCAGTTTTGCCATATCCTGCATCATAAAACTACGTGCGATAAATAAAATCAGATTTGATATTTCTATCGGTGGTGTGGCGAATTTGTTGTTTGGTAGAGGTAGGATCCTGCGTTCACTTTCCAACTATCTCTTTCTAAAGTGTAAGAGTCTGCAATTTTCATAGTCGTTTTTTCTTTGTCTTCTAAGAGTATCCTCACAGTTGCTGTAGACAAAATGTGACCCTTGAAAAACATAACCCAAAGAATAAGTGCAGAGACATCGCTCCTTGTTTCCTTTCTCGAAAATGACATTTTAAACTAATGAGAAGGTTCGAAAACTAAGTCATCGAACCTGTCCTATAATTCCATTCTTGTTCTCACCTTCACATTTCCGTCCATTCTTCCCTTCAAATTCCGAATTATTTTCATCTTCTTTAATGTGTATGTTCTTCATCTTTCATTTACGGTTATTTAAACTCCATCCCCAACTTATTTTATGTTTTCATTCTTTCTTTCGTTTTCTTTATCCGTTTCCTTCGGGCGTATACCGACTACATCCAGGTGTCAACTTTACCCAAGTCGTTTACTTACGTCGCCAAAAAGTCATAACTGCACTGCGCCCGCTGCCTTTCCCTTAGAAAAAGAATTGGTTTCTAAGTTGTTTTTTTTTCATTTACCGTTGTCTGCTTGGTAGTATGTTGGTCGATTATAATCGGTACACTTCTGTCGATTTTCAAGAAACCTTGTCCTTTTAGAGCACGGAGAACGTTGAAAAGCACAGCTTAAAATTTTATGGACACAAAACTTCAAGCCCTCCTAGAACGGACATATTCTTACCCCGCTGTCTTTACATACACCGTTCCGTACATTCTGCCTCCATGGTCGTGTTCGAGATTTCTCTGGGCTGCTGCGAGAACCTCCATTTGCGCTACCTGTGAAAAGAATCGTAACTGAAATGTTTACTCTTTCAGAAACATGGGGTAAACCAAACAGGATGCTGTCGGGCTGCGCCTTCTCCGGTAACGGAAAGAGGAAGGGGGCGGCGGGGAAGCTGAACGCGGGATGCAGTCGGGTGATGTCCTTCCCCTCTCTTCCTCTCCTCCTCCTCACTATATAGAGACCGGGTTTTGATGTAATAAGTTTTCTTTCTTTCTACTTACCGTTCTCTAAATTGTAATCTCGGCGAATCGTCGCTGTCTGAACACCATATTATTTCGTTATACATTATTTAGTTTTATGTTACACATTTTACATATTTTGCTATTTTCACAATTTTTTTTCCTATCAATTTTCGTACATATTTCGCGCGGGGCAGGGCCTGTGCCCGTGGGCAGAGGGCACCCATGCGCAGGCGCGCGGAACTGAGAGAGAGCTGTGCAGCCTCCCTTCCTTGGTGCACAGGGACGCGGGAAAAATACAAACGCAATGGAACAGTTTGCATTTGGAGTGAAAAATTCCGCCTATTCTCATATTGCGCGAGAGCACAAGGCTCCAAGGAAGAGGCCGTCGGCCCTGCTATTCATCTGTTGCCTTACGGAACAGCAACTTGTTTCATACTCTTGGAATGTAAAGGACTGCTCTATTGTGTATGTAATGCTTGTTGGCACCGCGCGAGCAGTGTGCATGCTACTTTCTGACATACCACCCGGGCGATACTTATTTCCTTTGGGCAATGAACCTCTCTCCACTTGCAAAGTTTGTGAACTGAGGCTTTCGCACTGTGCTTCCAGTCTGCCTTGGAGTGAATGGATCAAGGCCAACCCTGTGACTTGCCATTATCCCTCTACTGCCTCTTGTTACATATATGTAACATTTATAGTCAACTCGTATTTGCAACTTTTTGGAGTAATTTGGGGATTCTTCAATAGACGAAGCAAACGGTGGTTGGTCCGCTTATTAACTGTTTATTGGTAATTAAGTAATTTTTATTAGAAACGTCTGATTTATTATTATTATTATTGATGTAATAATAATAATAATAATAATAATAATAATAATAATAATAATAATAATAATAATATACGGTGGACGATAATTCACTGCTTCTGTGAGCATTCAGTGTGTGCAAAGGAGCCGTAGCTGTTGCGCAGATTATCCTCCGGCGCGCATGGCCTGACCAAGTGGAAGTCGACCGTGTGTGTTTGTGTGTGGGTGGGGGGGCGGAGCCCAGAGCGCTGCCCGCTGTGCAGCTGTTGGCGACGCGTGGAGACAGTGGGGGGTAAAATCTGGCAATGGACTCTCAATTCTTACGAATTGAACTTCCTTTGTATTCGCGTTGTCAAACTGACTCCAGCGACGAGCAGAGCCGTTCTTCCTCCTCGTCGCTTGGAGAGCGCAGTTTCCGAAGGCGAAGATCGGGAAAACGACCGTTAGGAGAGCGGATTTTTCAACTGGCTTTTGTTTCTTTTAGAAAAGTATATGCATTTGAGCGAAGTTCTTTTTGCGCAAAACTCCCACGCTAAACAATCAAAAATCGACTAAAAATATCGAAAAATGTATGTAAATATTCCGAAAGTATGTGACTGATTCTAAGTGTACAACCATCCAAAAATAATTCAAGAAATTCCTTGCGAATTGGATAAGCAGGCGCAGAAACGTAGGTGGCCCTCCGATTGTACTCGGTTCGTATCTCTGGCTCCGTAAATTGAAGAATTTGCGAGTGTGTACGTGCAATTAGCCGATTTGGCATAACACTCTGGTCAAAGTGCTAGAGCCTCGAGATGGCAAAAAGAAATAGCTTTTTTTAAAAACATCGATACTTTCGAACAGAAACAATGTATTAACATCGATGTTTTGATTTCGATAGATTCTTCAGATTAAATCAGATATATTTATCCAGAAACATCGATGCTTTAAAATTTTCATGATGAACATACGATTTCTAGTATCTAATTTTTTGTGGATTGCTCGCAATTGACAGCCACATCTGTCATTGTTGTCGATCCCGAGACGACTCGAGACGGTGTGCTATTCGCAAATTTTCTCCAGTGTTGTTACTATGTTTGATTATTTTGTTCAAGGTATTATCGTTAAACTACTTTTTGAATCTTGAATACGTAGAACATTGATTAGAGAATTAAGAAGAAACTAAAATTGACGTTTCATGTATTACATGAAGCCGACTAAAGCATTTTATTTCACTGATTTATGGAGGCGAGTGAATAAACGCAGAAATAGTGTCCTTAATGTCCGTAATTCCCGCCAATTTTTTATTTTCTTGTTTAAAATCGATAAACATAATTCACGACTTTTAATTTGTTACCGTACAATAAAGTATAACTGATTTAATTAAAT